GTCTCATGTACTACTGTCAGAGCATCTAATTTTCTCCTTTTCTTTCCGTCAATAACTTTCAATGATGCCGCTATGACTAGACCATATGAGTGTGTGGGGTTAGTGGATAGTGTCTGTTATATGATGATGCTATCAAAACCTGAAAGTATTGAATAGCATCTGTACATTTTATTGCCATATAGAGTTACATTATAACCATTACTGTGAATATAAGAAAAGGTTATTTTTATAAAAGTTTTTTTTTTTTTTTTTTTTTACTTTACGTTTGTTTTGTGAGTATGCAGTCTGGGTTTATTTAAGGAGAACATTGTTTGTGTTTGTTAAGTGTTAAGTCTGTGTTTTCGGAACAAAGGGAGTAACATCTGTTATGAGCTGTTGTCTTATCAAATATCAATTAAATAAAAAAGATGCACTTCCAGAAAGGTGGGAAGCAGTAGCAGAACTACAGTATGAGCTAAAACTAAATGATTGAGTACAAACTGTAACTATGGTACATGTTCCTCTCATATCGCCAGCTGCCACCCTATGTCAGGAGAGTGTACATGTCAGCCTGGTTGGTCAGGCCTCTACTGCAATGAGACATGCACCCCTGGATTTTACGGCGAGTCCTGCCAGCAGGTGTGCCGGTGCCAGAACGGTGCCGACTGCCACAGTGTGAGCGGAGAGTGTATCTGTGCCCCAGGCTTCACGGTAAATAAACAAATTTCTTCTTTCATTTTATATAATGTTTATAAACCATGTATGACGTGTGTGGCTGGTTCGTGTGGCCTCATCACCTGCACCATGTCATAACCTTGGCTCAACCGCCAGCAAACCCAGGCCACACTAGACATGGATACTTTCGGAACTGAATCTTTAAAATGGATCTACTAGAAATGTTCTGCAGTGGAAGGCTCCATGTACCTTCTCAGTACACCTTAAAGGTGCTATCAGTGAGAGCATGGCTCTTTAGTAACATCTAGAGGCAGCAGAACTATAACAATATAAGTAAATGCTGTATGAATTAATAAATAATTTCCAAAGATATAGTTCCAGCAACTTCCCCTAAAACCACAAATTGTCATGGTTAAATTTCGGTTTGTTTATGGATTAAATAAATGAGATACAGTGTGTTAATTA